TTTTCTGTGAATTAGTATTTGGAGGAATATGAGTACGCGTTGTATCCATAGAAGCAAAATCCATAACTGGATCTTGTGAAATTTTGCTTTGTTGACATGGATTTGAGAGAATTTGAATTAATAAGTCATCATTTGCTTGTAAAGAAAACATTTCAAATATACTTGCTAGCTAGTATTCTTCTTGTTGATCAAATGAGTAGCAAGTTCTCCAGCTTTTTCCTTTACATTTATATATGTACATATAATTGAACTCTGTTATAATTTGTTTGTCTTATTATGATTCGTTTTTAAATCTTAAATGGTAATAAAAAAAATAGGACAAATAAATAGAAAAAAAAAAAAGTAATAAAAAAAGATACGTTTGTTAGGATTGCGAGATCTTGAATGGCCCTTGATAATTGTCAGCAATGTCTCCATAAATAGGTAGAGGTAAGGACTGACTCACCAACATTTATTTTCTTATATTATTGTAACCTATACTGTTTTCTTTAATCGATAATATAGTATAGTATGGCTATCTGTTATTTATAATTGTAACCCCACCACTATGGTCTCTGCTCTCTATTTCTGGCATTGTCTCCAAAGTTGACAATAAATCATTTGGTCATACATTTAAATTTTTGAAATTATATTTAATTAAATATGTATTTTATTTGAAAAAGTTTTAAAGTATTATGAACGGAAGTCTAAAAAAACATGCAACAAGATCTTTTAATCCCACGTACCATGAAAGTTTAATATATTTGTAAACCCCTTTTACTAGTAAGTTTAACAACATTTTACGTTTGTTCTACAAAGAGATTTTGCTATGTAAGGCTTTCACTTATCATTTTGATGGGGCAACTTAATCATTGATACAAATTAAACTGTTGCAAGGTTAAGATAAGCAATAGCATTGAGGCACGTTTCAACCAATCTAGAAGAAAAGGAAAATATCAGCCACAGCTTCAAACCGTCCATTAAATGATATGCTCCTAATGTGATTTGATTTGATACAAAATTTCAAAAAAAATAAAATTGTGGATTAAAATAAGTTATTAGTATTTGTATAATTATAAATCATCTAATTAATTATTACTATTAAATATAAAAAAATATATATATCACTCTGAGTGTCTGACTAACAAAAAAAAACATATGTCATATAAATTGAAAGTAAGGGAATGGTACATTTTGGTTGTTGTCCCTCTTTCCTGAATAAGAGATATATTTTCATTGCAATTGAAAGTTTTATAATTGTGAGGGAGCCCACTAGTTAAACACGTTTTTAACTCTACAAGAAAACAAAAGGAGGAGTAAAGTTCAACCTTTGATAATGTTGATGTTTTGTCTTAAGTTGAGAAGATGGAGAAAGGTAATGGGTACACGTTTTGAAGGATTGAACCAAACAAATGTTTTCACCAAATAATGATTTATTTCATTCATTTATAAAGGGATTCTCTATTATAAGTAATACAACAACAACATTCATATACTTGAATTTCAAGTTTTATTACTTTCCTGTTGTAATTTATGTGATGTAATTGATTTGATATAGAATTTTTTTAAGGAAAGACGTTTGAAACATATGATCTAATATAAGTCATATATATTTATATGACTATAAATTATTTCATTAACAGTAAAATGAACATTTTAAAATAAAGTTATTATCAAATATAGAAATATGTCCCTTTTAAAAAAATAATTTAAAAAAAGTCATATAAATTAGGACAAAGAAAGTATTACTTAGTCGCTATTCTTTAAGCAATCTTCATTTACAATCGTCACAGGAGCTAGACTTGCATCTCTGGACGGGCCATACTTTATATAAGCTCCACGGACCCCAGTAGTAGTGTCCATAGAGGACAGTGCACATTACAGTCTGAATTATTTATTTATTTATTTATTTATTTATTTGGGTCATGGTGTCTTTGTGTTTCTCACCTCCTCTTTTGTTGGATTCAACTAGGGGTGTACATGATCGGGTTGGTTTGGATTTTTCAATTATTAAACCAAATCATTTGTGTCAGATTTTTAAATCTATAAATCAAACCAAACTAATAAAACTCCGGTTTTTCAACCTCGAGTTTTTTCGAGTTTTTCGGATTTTCGAGTTTTTTCGATAAAGTATTCATACAAACATATAATTTACTTGTACTTCAAATATTTCTTTAGTCCTACCAAAATACAACTATCTAAGGTGTTTCTTAAGAAAATAACACAAAAATATGATATGAGTAATGACACTAAAATATCCAACAAAAAAATAATAATAATGAAATCGTATAAAACAAATATTGCAAATTAACAAGTCATAATGAAAATGATCATAATTTAAAAGTACTAAATCATGCTAAAATAAGTTTAATAAGTATTAGTTACATGACTAAATATTAAAGGAAATTAAAATTAAATTATGTATTTTAATTTCATCTGTGGACTATAATCTTTATTGAACCATTCAGAATTCTAAGTTTCAAACTTGAAATAATATATTAAAAGATAAAAACTATGAAAAAGTATAAGAAATATTTAAAAATTATATCAAAGTAAATATTTTTTTTTGTATAAAATAAAATTTTAAAATTATATATATAATGTCAGGTTGGTTTGGTCTCGGGTTGATTTTGTTTAGTTAAAACCAAACCAATCCAAATATAGTCGGGTTTTTTTTCCGAATACCAAACCAACCACTAGTTGCATTTTTCTTCTCGATTTGCAGTTTTCGTTTTTCGGTTCGATTTTGTACACCCCTAGATTCAACTCTCAAATTGTCCCCTTTTCCATAAAAAAAAATTACTTGCTTACAGAATAATTTTTCAATTTATTCGAAATTTATTTGGTCATGAAAAAAAAATCAAAATTCAAGTAGAAATATTTTTTTAATATATTTTTTAAGTCGCTATTCACTTTTGAAGTTGTATTTAAGTATATTCAAATATGAATATCATTTCAAATATTTATTGCAAAAGTATAATCAACATAACTTCATCTTCAACTCTCCTCCTTTATTTGTTGAAGTCATGACACAAGGTGAAGAATTGAACTCTCACCAATAAGGTGAAAATTCATGTAAACAACCAACGGAGTTACTAAGATTTCCTTCTTTATTTTGACTGTTAATTATCTTACCATTTTTACCTTGTGATCACATGAAGTAACTTTGATGTATATAAACAAACAAAAATTAGAGCGGGATTTGTTGAAAGCTATCCTTCAATCACAGACTAACTGATAATGACACTTATTATGATTATAATATAATCTGAACTGACACTAAAGATGAATCCAAAGGAATTAAATGAGGAGGTGAGCACCCAGACAAATTAAGTGAACCTCCCCTACCCAAACACCCTTTATGATGAGACAAAAGCCAAATTAATATCACAACATATACTTCCTCTAGACAAGAAGAAAGGAGTGTTAAAAAGTCTGTTTGGATAGGAACCAAAACGAAAGAAGTATTTCTCATGATTTAATTTGGACTACGTCACCCAACTTTTACATGAGCTGAAAAGTTGTCTTATGCAGGTAGAATTCAACTTGTTCACAAAGACAAGTATGGTGTTGAATCAACCTTTAGCCATAAATCTCAACTGAAAGTACCATAACTTGGACATAAATGCCCATAAAATCAAAGGAAGGAGTCATATGGCTAAACTACTTTATACATGTTGGACAAGGGAGAAAATCAAAGCGATATCATTTGTGTTTTTCTCCCAATTTTATCATCCCTGATCAAGACGGTCTAAGAAAACTTTGAGAACATCCAACGTAAATGTAATGGAGAATTTGTTACAAGGTTAAAAAAAAAATGAAGATAAAGAAAATAGATGATAGAATGGTCCAGTTTAGGTCGGTAGTGCCCATACCAGAGGTTCAGAGCACATAAACACAACCAACAATGTCTCTCACCTACAAGTTATCACAATTATGACTTTTCTCTGGATTTATTACTAATGATGATTACTTCACTAAACACAAGGTTTATTTTCGCAAGATTTCAGAATTTTAAGCTGGAGATTCAAGATTTTTTTGACAAAATGGTATCAGGATCATCTTATGCGCACCTCAATTAATACATCAGGCAACCTGTCAAAGCCGTAATACTACCATCCTCTCCTCCTCCAAGGTTGCCTCAACCATTCAGCTATCCCCTTAGAAATGTGGACCATCTCGAGAATTGAATAAGTCATGGCAAAGTATCCCTAGCACTCAGTAACCACAAATATACAGTAGTATTTTAAACCAAAGACAGAAGTTAGAGATTTCTTCTATAGGCCTAAAGAATGAACCAACAAGGCATGTACAAAGTCCAATCAATATGGTCACGGGGTTCATCAGAACTCGGTACTTTCAACGCATAAAAAAAATTATATATAAGTTCCATGAAAGGTGATAGATAATTCTAAACCAGATGTCTTAAGTTCTATGTGGAATTGAAATACTTCCCACCACCTCCATACTATGCACTGAATCAAAAGAGGACAGCAGAAAATAGACACTATTAAATCTAGTATAGCAGCAGAATTTTCCCTTAGATAATTCTACGCACTCTAATACATAGCAAGTGCAATCAATGAGAATTTGGTGCGGAACAAATAACAGGTGCCCCTTCCTTGCCCGCCCTTGTCCAAAAATAAAGAGTTGGTGTAACTAATTTGACTCAATTATCATAGTTGCAGGTATATATCAGATACTGGGGATATGAATTAGACAAAAGAATTAGAAGAATGACCCACTTAACTTATTTAACCATGGAGGAGCGGGTAGTTGGGGTGACTGAAGTAAGATAGCAACATGCACACAACTTGATCATACTGATCTGAGGTTATGTATTACACCTTTTCAGACTTGTCCTCATTTTCTGATATAATGAAAGATCTTTTGAGTTTATCCAAACAGAAAACTAAAAGAATACCATCTCGATTAATTTTTTGAAATTTATGTCGACACTTCTAAGTCTCTAATCAATAATATGAGTTTCAGGCAAGTAAATAAAGCGAAGAGGTAATCACCTTCGAATGGCACAGATGAAAAGTAACCTTGAAATAGGATCATGGCCTGCCTTCTTACATGCAAATTGCTTATAGTTCACACACTGTAAGCAATATAAATGCTGAGAAGCAGCAAGCATGCTCTATTTCATCAACTTCCGCCTTCAAACACATTGTGTCCTGTGCAATTCGTTGCTGCACTGTCATACAACACTGCCCCTCATGACTCCTGCACATACATACACATAATGCATATTCTTTGCTTGGATACATCATATGAAAAGAATGACTGGCTGAAATGCGTTGGATGCCTGCATACAGGGAGTTAAATGTAGAAGTGGTGAAGGAAAGAGATTGCCCTTGGAAGATGATATGGAAACTAAAAATTCCCTTCAAAGTTAACTGTTTCATCTGGCTTTTGGCTAAAGAAGCAGTGTAACTCATGAAAATCTCAACAAAAGGGGATACCAACTAGCATCTAGGTGTTTTCTATGTGGGTAACAAGCTGAGACAATCAACCATCTTCTTCTGCACTGCAAATGGACAAACCAGTTTTGGAGGATGTTCATCAATTTGAAAGGGATTAGGTGGGTGAAAGGGATTAGCTGAATCAGTATTATAATATAATGAATACATATATTCCCACAGTAGTGTTTGTGATGTGTTGAAATGCAGCCCATCTAAAAGTGTAAGCAGAAATAGTCATCATCATAAAGTAATGATGACAAATATGTTCACTTCACTGAAGAAGAAATTCACAAAAACACTAACGAGGAGAAGGATATATCTTATAAAACAGTATGGGAACCTGCAGTTCATCTATAAGAGACTTAGTCCACACCGCAGAATTGCCAAGCTTTATGAGAGACTGCAGACAGAAAATTCCATGGACTCATCCATCTTCTAAGAAACTTTTTATTTTTTCGACTGCTTCTTTCTGATGAAACATATTTCTTTACAGCATGAAAAATACAATATGACCAGTCTACTCATATGTGATACCATAAGGCATAATTGTCCCGAGGTATAGCATGTTACATTTCAAAACTGAAGTACTCTACCCATCTACGCTTGATGTTTAAAACTTTAGTCTTCAGACAAATCGACATACTCAAACATGCTTCAAATCCTACACTTCTTAAACCATTCCAGTCCTAATATCTTAATTGAGCTTTGATGCGAAGCTTTGACCATGCCATTCTTGTAAACATGTGTTTACCCCACAAACTTCTGACATACAAAATCATAAGCTTGGCTCGAAAGTAATCACGTTTTGAAACTATATTAGTTGCAATTGTGTTATGTACCTTGGTAGCCGAGTCAATCATCAATGTGCCATCTACTGCAAGTATGTTGCCTTCCCCTCCAATGCATGTACACAAAGTTCAAAGACTTTCAATTTCTCAAATCCAAAACACCATGGAGTACGGTAAGTTCAGCAAAGTTTGGTTTAGATTCACAATAATCTTGGACTGAAGCTTCGATCACGACAGGAACACTGAACAGAGCCTCAATCATGACTACAAAGCAAAAAAACCAAGCACAATCATGCTATGAATAAAGGAACAGTGAGGATAAACCATTGAAACTATTGTTGTGCATTAGCCAAGCTATTTGCTGCAGAAACTCAGCTTGGCAGTTGGCTCCTCTTAGCTCAAATGCTAGTTTTAGACCAAGTTATAAGCTTGAACTACCTATTGAGCTTGTTGTTAGACAAGCATGCTTGAAGAAGGAAGACTAATGTTGTTGACTTTTACCAACTACCTTTTTACTTCTATGTCTAAAACATAAAAACAACATCTAGGGTTTTGGGAACCAAATGCACTGCAAAGTGCAATTACATGAGTTTGCATTCTCTTCCCGCACACCTTCCATCCCAATCTCCAACAAAATCTTTAATCATTTCCTATCAATGACCTCATCATTCTTGCTGTTTTTTATCGAACTGTTCCACTTCCCTTTTGAGCCTTCCACCACACATTTTACGTTGTTCTGCTTCTTTGCTGCTGCTCAAAATGCTATCATCGGCTTCTAAAGCCCCCCCCCCCCCCCCCCCCCTGACAACCATATAGCAGTAACATCAGCCACAGGGTTCCCTCGTTTTTGTATTGTTTACACCACTGTTCCGTTGCTCCCTCTCTGGGTTTGCTTTTTCATAACAAATCCAGGAAAATGTTTGTCGAGACATTTCTCTCTTCACAACAATATTTCATGTGATTTTTGTTCTTCAGCATGCGCTGGGTACCAGTTCATGCTCAGCTCAGTTTGGGTACAAACCTAGCCAAGTTCAAGGCAGAGTGTTTTGCAACCAAGTCAAGTTCCAGCGACCATAGCTCATCTGCTACTTGAGCAAAAGCCACACCTCTGAAGCGCGGCTTAAATCAACTGATTACACCTCCAGGTATAAATAAAGATTTAACACATAAATGATAGTGGTTCACTAGACATATATAATAGGAATTTTTTCACACCACTTCTGGAAGAAAAGGATGAACGAATTAAAAATCAGACAAACAACAAGAAACAAAGCGAAAAAGTCACTTATCAAAGAAATGAAAAACAAAAAACAAAAATCTCTTAACAAGGAGGTCAAAGATGAGAACAGGTGTATCCATATCTCCTGATAAACAAGATGAGCAACATATTATTGATCTATTGACACGTGGCAAGAAATATAGACTGCAACATATGGATTTCTATTTGAGGAATTTCCAAAATTACCATAGTTAGGGCCTTACTAACAATCTATAGCCATAGTTTAGGTATTTACTATTTATAGTAATTGTTAAGAGATATTAGGTAAAAAAAAAAACTTATTTTGAGGTGTCAAGTGACTGTATTTGTTGTATTCATACGCGCATTTAGGTTGTATCGACGAATATAGTTTGTGTATACAAAGATACAAACAACAAAAAAATATGGGGATTATATTCCTTTGCTCTGATTATACAGGAGAGAGATTAACCCAACCAAAAAGAGTAATCAAACATCTTGCTTTAAAGGTAGAGATGGGAGTTGGGGTGCCATCAAAACATCTTTTGTTCCTCTCCGTCCATAAGCACCACAAAATACAGGCTGGAACCAAAGACCAGATCTGCTTGACGGACTTCCCAACTTTCCAAGAACTCCAGTAGTAGCTTAGAGCACCTTGATTGCTCCCTCTTCCACTTATCATTATCATTCTATAAGTAGTATTGTTAGTTTTCTATTGTTATCCGTATCTTCAACTGTGTTACTACTATTGGCTTTTTCAACTAGCTTATCTTTACTATTTTTGTTGTCAGTACTTTCCTTTCTATGGTATTTTCACCATAGCTTTTACTCTTGTAATGTCAAACCTGTTTTTGTAATATTTTTCTTGATAGAGGGTTTAACAGACACACCCCACCCTCCCCAGACCCATACCTCTCCTTAGACCTATCAATGTGGGATAACAATCCTAGGATCACTAATCCTGAGATAAAACAACAATATGGAAAATATGCCCTTCTCAAAAACACTTCTCCCCAAGTCCTTTAAGAAGGCCAACCCTTCTCAAAACTCTTTTACCCAAGTCCTTTAAGAAGGCCAAGGTTAAAATTAGAAATAAAAGTTAATCTAGTATAAACCAACCAAACACATGTTTTATATCATACCTAGTATATCCCACTTTTAATCTAATAAACCAAACATCTACTAATAAAAGTATATTCACTAGATAATCCCTATTAGTACAATTTGTTCATCAGCCAAACGACCTCTCTCACTCTATAGGATGAATAAGTTAAATATTGGGAACACGAAAATTACAAATGTAGTATAAGAAAATCAATGACTAGATATGAAGTTGTCCACGCTCCACATGTCCATCCCTGGGCATGAAGGGAGGTGAAGAGTCTCACATCGATAGTAAAAAGGATAGGTGGTCTCTTTATATGGCTTGGACAATCCTCACCTCTTGAGCTAGCTTTTGGGGTTGAATTAGGCCTTCGAGCCATCTCTTTACATGGTATCAGAGTCAAGTCATTCCCAGATGTTATTCACTAGATGTTGGCCCCATCTTATATTGTTCACACTATATGTCCAATCCTCTTGTTGATTAGGGATGAGAGGTCCCTTTATATGATCTTGGACAATCCTTCCCCCATGAGCTAACTTTTGAGGTTGAGTTATACCCATGGTCCATTAACACACTGTAAAATATGCAACTTAATTGTTTCTACATTATGCACCTTTCCTTACTAAAGTGTACACGCTTTAGCAGCACTTTACACTCCAAACCCTAGCGAACCTTGGATTCTTCTATATTTTTCGCCTTTGACAACAATGGTTGTAATGACGAACTAGGATTTTGAAGTCCTCAACAAAACAACTAAGAATTAACACTTACAACACTACCATGGAAAAGGACAAACAAAATTGCATCCTCTATATTTCATCTAGCACCTAAAGACGGTACATTGAATTTCTTGAAAAATGACTCCCAGTACTTGCATGAGACCACATGTGCAGCATAATGAATACAAGTGTGAGAAACCATTAGGCATCAAAATAGAGAATGTAATGCTTGTACAATATTATTATGCACTTAAGTATCAGCTCCAAAGTGCAGTGTGGGAGGAGGAAAAGAATCTAGAACAAAAATCCTTTAAAAAGGACCGAAGATAGATGGGCTTGAGCAATGCCTAGAAATGTGCAGCTTAACAGCAGTATACTAACTTTTCCAAGTTCAAGAATATGGGAGCACATTGTGCTAATGGACTAGCAGCTATTTAAAGCAGATAAATACCAAAGTAATTAAATATAATCTTTAACAAGAAAGCACACAGCAAGGAAGGGGGAGCAGACCTGCAAATAGAAGGTGTGGGTTCCAAGCAGATCTAGAGGCCAAGCTAAGTTCGCACCATCTTTATCAAAATTTTAGACAACTAAAATTTTACTTCCAAAAAGAATTCCTACTCAAAAGGTTGACCTCGAGACTCACTATTCTAACCTTCCCTTCCACAGGTAAGTTGATATAAGCAGTATCAATGTCCTGAAATACACTCTTAATAAGAAAAAAAAAATTGGTCTCTCCCCTGTTCTCTCTAGAAGTAGTTGCAATCAATGTCAGAATAAGATATATTTCTTATTCTCCCCGTTTCCTCCACCGGACGAAAGTTTTTTTGTGGCATGCAACAGCTGAATGGTATTGCTGCTGAGACCTTTAGCACAATGAGCATTCAACTAATATGAGAAAATATTGTCTTCTACCAAGGTTCGGAATATATTGACTAGCACAAGCACTTAACATTAGCTGAACTTAATGGATTCTCATATCTAAGTAGAAAGGAGAGTATTAAGGGCAATGAGACTCTCAATCTACAAGTGCATATATGGATTATGGTGAGGACCCAAACCAAAGAATTTTAATTTAGGAAACAACATTTGATAATTACAAAGATGGGCAGCAGAAATTTCTTAAAGAACCAACGCAGGGCAACTTGCATATACAACAAATTTACAAGTGAAAGAGTTGAAACCATAAAAAAAGCACAAACAAGTTGCTATAATCTTGGAGAAAAAGGCATACCTGAATGCAGATCCATACCTCCACCATACAAGCATCATCCCCATCGCGAGCAGAATAGATCTAATACCTCCCAGTTTTACCAAGAAAGGATTAAGGGTGCACTTTGCCACTCCTCCTCCCTGACATTTATTTAATTCATTCTTCATTTTTAGGGAGTGGGGAAGGGGCCGATTAGCAGTTATAGTAATATCTATCAACTGTCCAAAATAATGGGTCCATAAGCAGCAGCCTGGACACAAAAAATCACTGAAAGCATCTCAATCTGAGGCCTTGTTCTGCTTGTCCAAATATATCCCGTAATTAGGAATCCCAAACTCAAGATAAAATATTAAATGGCTTTGTCTATTGTTATTTAGTTTCCAGAAGGAAAAAGAATACACAGATACCGACTTGAAAGAAAAACAATATGCAGAACATGTAAAGCAAACATCAAAATCCATTAAAATTGTTAATTCTTTGTTTCCTATCTCTTCTTTACATCGTAAGTCATCCACAAAGACAAGAAATAATCAACAACTTAAACTTTTGTTTTGTACAGAACTGAAACCTGATTTAAGCTCACCGGACCTTCTTGTGGGACTTGATTGGGAAGCGGGAGGGGGGTGAGGGTGAAAGTTCGACTGGTAACTGGGGAGCTTCTAAATCACCAGAGAGCATCCCAACTACTTCTTTCATTGATGGTCGGCGTGCAGGTGACTTCTGCAAGCAGAGCAGGGCAACAGTGATGGAGAGTAGTGCTTGTTCTTTGTCTAATGATTCAACAGTTTGATCAACCAAATCAAGAAGCTTCCCTGCTCGGGCAAGGTGACGTGCCCAAGAGAGAAGATTAGCACGCTGGAATTCGGACATGGGTGACCCCGTCACCTGAAGTGGCCTACGCCCAGCAATAAGAACTAACAAAAGCACCCCATAGCTGTATACATCACACTTTTCAGATAGATCCCCACAGCTACCATATTCTGGTGCAACATAACATACAGTTCCTCTCATGCTTGGAGTGCTACTGATGCCACCACTTTTAGGTATATCCCCACTAGCAGAATCATAACTATTCTTACGAGCTCTCCGAAGCTCACTACTAAATCCATCCAGCCACCAATCCATGCTACTTTTACTACCCCTACTCCTGCTCCTTTTCTTCTTTTTAGCAGTATATAATTCATCATCCCTTGGCCACCAAGACTCACTATGACAATCATCACTAATTGAACCCTTCCCCCCCTGTTCCTTCTTCTTTTTCTTTTTCTTCCTAGCAAGCTCCTCACAATACTCCTCCTTCCACCACTCTCTTGCAGGCCTCCTCTTCTCCTCCTTCCCATTTTTTTCATCATCTAATGAAACCCACCAATCTAATCGCTTCCTATGTTTCTTCTTTTCTATTTTTCCTACTGGTCCTGAACTCGACGAAGCCCCAACCCACTCTGTCTTCGGCCTCTCCTTCTTGATCTCACTACCAATCCATTCCATTACATAATCCTTCACCA